CCCGCGCCCGTCTGCGCCCGCACGCCGCACCTCGCCCATGCCCGCGCACGCGGATTCCCCGGCGAGCTCGAGAGTGTCGCGCCGCCAACGCCCGTGCCAACCGTCACCTGCAAGTTCGCGGATTTTGTGGAGAGCTCGAGAGTGTCCCATTTAATCTGCGTGTTTTTAGTGTGTGTTTTGAGAGGGAGTATAATCATTTTTCTTCCTTTGCATTTTGGAGATCCATCACTCATTATTTCATTTTTCCTTTTTAGGATCGTATGTTATGTTTTAAGTTTGCTCTCTAGACTAAGGAGCTTATGTCATTTTCCGGGAGGTTTTCCGGCGACTTTCGTTTCTTTCAAGTTTCAAGTTTTCGACTCCGTTTTTCATTGTCTACGCAATAGAAGGTGGGTATTTAGTTTTAAACCTCTTTATTAGGGTATTTAGTTTTTTGCCTCGTTTTTTACTTATAATGTTTATTAGGGTAAATTTGAGTTTGATTGATGGTAGGGGGAAAATCGGGACTTGATTGCTTGGGATACTTGCTTGAGTAGTTATAGGGTTTAATTGCTTGTCGATATCGGTTAAGGGTTAAGACCTGATCAGGGCTTAATTACTTAGGGATAGAAGGCTAGGGTTAATGATCTAGTACTCATAGCTCGTTTATTCCTCTTTGTCGTTGATTATCATTTCGTTGAGTTGATGGCATGAGACTCCGATGGTCCAGTTTTGCTATTTGCTCGTGATTTGATATTGCTCTTAGTTGCTTGCTTGCTCGTTTAGTGTTAATCAACCTCCAATCCAATTGATTAGAATGTTTAGGATTTATTTTCTCTTTTTTTTTGACTTGAACAATCGAATAGTAGGTAAAGCTCCGAACCGCCTTCCTTTTGAGAACGACCCAAGTCGGGTAACTCAGTTATCCCTTGACCACCAAAACCTTGCTAAACAAAAATACGCAGCGAAAAATAAATAAATACGAAAGATTCAAATTTTAGCCTACAAGTGAATATACATTTGTAGACTAATGCCACATGTCAAAATTCTACTAGATCAAATTAATCACAATAATATTCTTTTTGAAGCTTTTTCTTCTTTTTCCTAATAGACACCTATTAAAATAAGGAAACATTTTAAACACAATAATATTCTCCCATAAATAATAAACTAATATATATATATATATATAATTATATATACAAAAAATATTCAGAAAAGCAAAATAAAAAAATATAGTCAAAATACGTAAAATACTTAAAAACGTAAAAATACGTATCCAACAACAATTTTCGTTTTTGTATGAATCGTTTTGATTGGATGTGGAAACATGTTGTATTTGTCCTTTTAGTAGAATAAAATACAGAGTTAGAGTATCAAATATCGTTATTTTTTCCATATTATTTTCTTAATGGCATTTTTTTAATGAAATTAAAACAAGTGTTTTTATAAAAAGTGTATGTCAGCCTAACGACTAGGGCTGCAAACGATTCGAGCGGCTGGCGAGCCGCTCGAGTCAAAGTTCGACTCGAGCTCGAGTTTGACGGAACTCGAGTCGAGCTCGAGCGGCTCGAGCACGAACTCGCGTCGAGCTCGAGCCCATATTTTGTCTTGTCGAGCGGCTCGAGATAATGTTAAATTATTAAAATACCCTTTATATATATGTTAGCATATATCCTTAATGGTAATTTTACTTTTTCACTTAAAACTTTTCGAGTCGAACTCGAGCCGAGCTCGAGTGCTCTTGTAATTTTTTATGGAGTCGAGCCTAAAAATTCGAGCTCGAACAGCTAAATAAAGTCAAACCTATTTGATAATGCCAATGTTCGATTCAGTTCGATTTATTTGCAGCCCTAACGACAATGCCTTTGCCCCGGTCCAACGCCCAGAGGGTTGACACATTATTTTTTGGAAGAATTTCTTGTATATTTTAACCCAAACTAGCTTACCTGCCTTTTGGCGTACATACAGATTTTACATTAATATAGCAAATAATTTTCAGCTTACGTATTCATGACAATAAGACACAAATTCATTAAATATTTTTAAAGTTTTCACATCTATACATTTTTATTTTTATTTTTTATTTTATAGTAAAGGAGAACTAAGATGCCTTGCATCATGTTGGGTTAGGTGGGCTTAACATGAAATTAACCCAAAAAAAAAAGTAGCTTAACATGAAATTAATAAGCAGTTTAACTCGAAATATCAATTAATAAGTAGTTTAACTAGAAATTAACCCAAAAAAAAGTAGCTTAACATGAAATTAATTGCATTATGTGCCCGACAATTTATGATACATGATAAAATTAGTGCACCTTCCTTTTATTTTATAACTCATAGTTTTAATATTAAATTTATTCGATGACCTTAAATAGTTTAAGAAATTGTCGATGTTTATGGATAAAATAAATAAATAAATTATAAATGATGTCAAAAAAAAAAATCTAGATAAATGAAAGTTCATATTTCAATCAGGGGTTGGATGATATTTTAGTTTATTTGACATCTAAATAGCAATTACATATCACACAAATCATCAAAAGATTTCATAAAATTATGTGAAAAAAATGTGTTTTTCCCGGGCCAGACTGGACTCGCCCCGGAAAGTTGGGCCAGGGTCGACAAAAACATGGCCCTAGACCGGCCCGTTAGAAATTTGAGTCGGGCCTGGACCCGTGGTCAATGCGTTTTAACCGGACTGAGTCCGGGCCGACGGGTCAGGTGGCATGTGGCCACGTCTAGGCCCATTAAAAAATGAATATAGTTCTGAGTTGAGGTCATCTCCATCTTTCGGTTATCTATGACTTGGGTTATTTGTTACAGGCTTATTCTGTGTAGTAACCCATATCGGCCCAAATCCAAAATATAATAGTGACATGCTATATGTTTGTGATCCAATACGGCCCACTATAGTGATCCACAAATTTTCTAAATTGCACATTTTGATAATTTGATCTATATAATAATTGCACCTAACATTCTCACTTTTTGTATAATTGCAAATAAAACTCAACATTTTTATCTTTGTAAATAAATACCAAACTTTTATTATGTGTTGCAAAGTTGTCTCAAAACCATTTTTCGGAGAATCTTTGTTGATGTGTTCGATCATAAATCTGACGTGACACTTATGAGGCTTGTGTGTGACATCAATCTTTGAAACTCATCACCATGTTTTTTTGCCACATCATACGCCAACAAATTAACCAAAATTAGAGTTTAGTATCAATTGAAAAAAATACAATTTTATCACCATTTTTTTGCTCCATAATCTTCACAACAATCGAGTTCTCCCCCGATTTAAAAAAATAAAAAATTGCAGCGATTCTTCTTTTCTCCATGGCGCGAT